GCACAAAAGATAACATACTTACTCAGAGTGAACATTATATCTAAAAATTTTATGTCTAATGCAAAATATATGATGTTTATATTCAAAATGATCATCAAATTGTAAGAATTCCAGCAATGTAAATTATATTCTGGCCAGGTAATTTGTAAGAATTTTATGAGCTAAAATAAAAATCTTCAGTTAATAAAAAAAAAAAAAATATTCTTCACACGGTAACAGATGGTCGGTCGCCGGTCCCTCCCTCCCTCCACCAACGTCCCTACTAGATAAATGTGTGGGAATACCAGACTGTTTACCTTTTTAGTAATAAATAATAAATCAGACTAAAGTTAGGATAATATAATTGACATTGCTGGATTCCTTGTAAGACCAGGAATATTTTGAATATAAATATCATATATTTTGCACAAAAGATAACATATTTACTCAAGAGTAAACATTATATCTAAAATTTGTATGTCTAATGCAAAATCTATGATGTTTATATTCAAAATGATCATCAAATTGTAAAAATTCCAGCAATGTAAATTATATTCTGGCCGGATAATTTGTATGAATTTTATGAGCTAAATAAAAAAATTATACTTCACCGTGTAAAGGGGTACACCCACCGCGGAATGTGAGCATCCTGGGTTCTGGCAGGGCACCGCGTAAACGTGGAAACGCGGAATGTGGGACCGCGTAAAGTGAGGGTTGACTGTACTGGTTTTAGCCCACGTGGGCACAGATCACTGACCCTCATTGGGGCCTAGGGGGCAAAAATGTAATAATAATAATAATAATAAATACAAAAATGAAAAAAAATATCAAGAGTTGAGAAACAATATACCTGTATGTATGTTGTGTTGTCAAAGTAAGAGAAACAATTGAGACCCTGCAGAAAGTCAGATCATCAACCTGGGAGTTGGTCACATAGCAGCAGGGTCTACGATTAGACAATACATTATGCTTCCAATACCTTCCCAGACGGTAGTACGTCCTTGTTTGGTACATTAGCTGCCTAATACCTACACCAGTGAAACCGTTACTTGATATACAGCCCTTTTGGCACACACACACCTCTTTGAATATCATCACTTATAACTGCTTATCAGTCATCATTTTCATCAATTTAAAAAAAAAATCTGTATAAGGTGAAATCTTTAATACAGCACTCATTTTATACACCTGGTCACCTCCACATCTTAGGGGCTGTAGTGTTTACATTCTTTCTCTTGTTTTTGTCGGTATGACAACGAAGGGAAATATTTTCCAACAGTAGAAGGTAAGTAAATGTAAACATGTATATCAACGTCTATATAAAATAAAAAATCTTTATTTAAAAACAAAATAAAAGTAAAAAACAACTCGTTTTTTGCAAAACCAGTGACTGATTGGTTCTACATAATTATAAAACTGAAGAAAATAAGTCCTCCATTGTAGCTGTATTAAAATTAATGTAAAAAAATTAATATGGTTGTTTTAAGTAATGTTATTTAATGTTAATAAATGGAACAATGGAAGTAGCTAACAATTAAGGGTAAAAAAAAGTGAGATCGTGTATGTAAGTGAACACATGTGTAAACATATCGTCATTACTCTACATAAGAATATGAAAGCAACACTTATTTACTGTTCATATATGTTTTAATTAATGTTTCTGAATTTCTTTTTGATTGAATTATTGTTATGTGTGCAAATTGAACAATACAATTCATTAACAATACGAAGGATATTAAAACACATGAGGAGACAAGACATCATTGTTTTTGTTGTTTACAAAACCAGTTGGTTCTACATATAAAGCTGAAGAAAATAAGACCCTGGTTGTAGCTGTAGTAAAATTAGTATGGTTGTTTTAAGTAATGTTATTTATTGTTAATAAATGGAACAATGGAAGTAGCTAACAATTAAGGGTACAAAAAAATAGTGAGATCACATATGTAAGTGAGCACATGTGTAAACATATCATTACTCTACATAAGAATATGAAAGCAACACTTATTTACTGTTCATATATGTTTTAATTAATGTTTCTGAATTAAAAAAAAATTCTACCCACCAGTGGTAGTAAAGTTTAAAACCATAAGGACAGCCAATGATGTTTTGTGTGTGTTTTGACTTGGATGACGAAGTATTTAAATTTTGAAGATTTTAATTTTGTGGGGTTTTTACAGTCTAACTGGATATCCAAATATGAGAGCCTACTGTAAATAGATGTTCAAATATGAGAGCCTACTGTAAATAGGTGTCCAAATATGAGAGCCTACGTATAAAGAAACAAACATTCCTGCATTTGAGACCAGCAGACAACCTTTAGCAATTCCTCAATAGATGGCGCTGCCGCACCACTGCCATTAGTAAACAAACCACACAGCAGCAAGGGTTTATTTATTTTATTTTTTGCAATATATCAACAATATTAGTTAAATCAATAGTTTTATAGTACTGTATAGAGAATACTTGTAATTGTTAAGTACTGTAATGAGGTAACAGTCTTTGTAAGGGGCTGATTTCAAAAACCTGTGCTACAACTCATCGACTAGTGTCCTGGAAGACGCATGGTAATTTTCGAGGTATATTTTTGTCATAAAAAGTGCGTCTTTTAAGCCGAAAAATAGAAAAACACGATATACTTCACCCAGACACTATCTGTCAATCAAAATACCCCACCTCCGCTCCCCCCCCCCCTCTTCCCACACTTGCTGGGTCCCTCCCTCCCTCCCTCTCTCCCTACCCCCCCACCTTCCCTCCCTACCAGAGAAATGTTTGGGTGAAAACATTAGGCTAAAATTTTTAGTAATAAATAATACCTCAGACTAAAGTTAGGATAATATAATTGACATTGCTGGATTCCTTGCAAGACCAGAAATATTTTGAATATAAATGTCATATATTTTGCACAAAAGATAAAATTTTGACTCTTTCTAATAAAAATTCTTACATTAGATCTAAAATTTATGTCTAATGCAAATTCCATGATGTTTATATTTAAAATAATCACATCTTATAAGAATTCCAGCAATGTAAATTATATTCTGGCTGGGTAATTTGTATGAATTTTATGAGCTAAAACAAATATCTTCAGTAAATAAACAAATTATACTTCACCCGCGTAAATGACCAAATTTACCGCGAATTAAAGCATTTCATTCGGGCAAGGCACCGCGTAAATGACCAAACGCGTAAATGACCAAACGCGTAAACAAAAACCGCGTAAATCCAGACTCAACTGTGCTTTCATTGTGGATTCTTTTTATTGAATGAACAAATATTGAGAAACATGATTTATGTTGTTAATTTAATGTGCAAATTAATTTTAGATATTCCTAGCTAGGATTAGGAATGAAATTTTTTGAAATATTTTGTGAACATCTCACAAACTTTCATATAGACGACCAGGAGGAAGTATTGTAACATTGTCATGAGTTTCCCGCAGCCTGAGAGTTGTCGCCAATAGTATGAAGGCCTTAGGCCTGTCTTCGACCAATGAGAATGCCAGTGAGGCGTGACGTCATGAATGTTGTGGCGTCCCTTGTGGGCTGACGCAGTTTGAAGAGCAGAGTCTGTGTTGGAATTTTGTGTAGGGAGGTGTGGGACGTCAGTGGTGGCGACATGGCAGGTATTTGGGTGTATTTTATTTAGTAAATCCTTAAGTTCCCATTTGTTGTGAGATACATGGTCCCAGTTTAACTAGCTAGGAGCATAAGTTTATTGTTTTGAAGTGTAACTGTTAAACCCTAATATAAAGTATTAAATAAATACAGTAACCGTTAATGAGAGTCCTAATTCATCCCTCCCTCATTAAGAAAGAGTGATGTGTTATAAATGTCTTGGTATTATGCAGTAATATGGCGAGTCCTATATACAATAACTATCCTGTGTTTCCCCTCCGTGAAGTATTGTATCTTGATTCCCCTAACCAGCTTCCCTGAGTCTCCCCTGGCTGGTGTGAGTGGGAGGGCCAACCAACCACAACCATAGACAATTACCTCCCTCACCCTATCCACCTCTCACGAGTATAACGAGAAAGAATAGCAGGAATAAGTAAAAGAAAGAGTAAGTGAAATAAATAGATAATTAAATAAAAGGAATTAAAAAGACAATAAAAAGAGTAATTTGTTACATAAAATTTGTTACATTAAAACATGTTACAATAAAATTTGTTACACTATAACTACTGCAGCAAACTTCCTGTCTCGTCTTTTAGTCATTGCTACCGACTGACTTGAGTCAGTGTAGTTCTAGTTCGGGTGGTCACACCACTGAGTTTTTCCGACAATAAAAACTCTCGATAGCTGAAACTGTCAGAAATATGCTCATGTGCACACACACAGGAGAGAAGTATCGACAGTCCACTCTCAAGTGGACACATAAGTGTTAGTTACGGTGATATCATACATTAATTGTGCATGGATTATTTTCTTAATAAAAGGAGAAAAGACCATTTGGGTTTGCAAACTTATCCCAAAAACATTTCTTGTTGTAACTTCTAGTTTACCTCCAGCGTTGAATCTCCAGGACCATTCATCAGTGATTACAACAGGTAAACAGAAGTAACCAAATGGTCCAAACCCAGACTGGCTTACAGCACAGCACATAACCTGTACCTCTTATGCCCCCCAATCCCAAGCACCAGAGGTACAGCTATGGACAAATAGAATTTGACAAGGAAGGAGTGTTAGCTGCTCCTGCCCCATAATTAAACTAAAAAATCAATTTGTGGTAAGGAAAGAAAATCTAATTTTCAATCGTCATCTCTATGCAATGTTTCCAAGTCTCCATCTACCTCCCTCCCTGCCTGCCAAACTCTTTTTGTTCATAACTGAACATGTAAAATTAGATCTACTTAACTTTTTATTGGTGGTAAACATTTCATAGTTAATGCTCTCTATGGCTTTTTGCATACAATGCAGCAAACTACCTAATTACTGTAGACAATGTATTAATAAGCCTCCCTTTTGTGTTGTGCCATGCTTTGGGGTACACAATATCACACTAGGTTTAAATAAAAGAAAATGCCAGTGCAGTAAACATATATAAAGCATGTACAACACAAAGTAATATAGCGATAACAAATTTGTTTGTAGATAATTTTAGATATAGGATATCTTTCTTATTTTTCAGTATACTCATGGGTGTACAAGGTGGGGGGCTGCAACCCCCCAACTCTGAGAAGACAAAAAATCCGGGCAACAGTATATCAGTGATTCGGGCAAGCGCTGCAATTAACATGGCTAATATCATTCAGATTTTAAAATTTGCACTTCCCATGCGGTGTCTCAGAATTTATGAGCTGAGAGCCCTCCAGGGGCTATTCTGAGTTACTGTGTATGTTCGTACGTCTGTTTGTGTGATGTATACTGTGACATCACATAATATGACTTTCAGCAAGCAACAGACTAACAGTATGGCCGTGACATCATGAAACTTGTCTTTCATCCGCCAATTAGATTTCAACATTAATCCTCAGCAAATTACACCACCCAGTGGAGATCACTTGTTATCCAAAATGAGTTGCTAGAAATCATGGCAAAGTCTTGTTCTTGAATGAATTACATCTGATGTACATAACAGTAGGCAATATGCAATTATCTTGGATGAAACATCAGACATTAGCAGCACAGAACAGGTTTTGCTATGTTTGAGGTATGTATTTCATGGGAACTATGGAAACCTTTGCTGGATTGTATCCAACAGTGAGTACCGAAAGTGAAGCCATGTATGAATTAGTGAAAAGTGCTACCAAAAACCTTAATTTGGAGTTGAAGAACATTGATGAAGCTTCAAATATGTGAGGCGAAAGAAAATGATTAGCTGCACGGATGAAGGAATGTTTTCCACTTGGTAATTATGTGCACTGCCATGGTCATCTTCTGAACCAGAAAATCCAGGATAAAATGACAGACATTGAACCTCTCTGAAATGCATTTGGAACAATACAGTCTGTATAATTTTATCGAGTTGATTCCCATGACCATGCATTCTTTAAAGACCTCACATTGAAATCATTAAGTACTACTAGATGATTGTGTCGCTGGGCAGTTGTGACAGCTATCACTGATCAAATGTTACTTTTATCAGATGATTGCAGCTGAAAAACCAATGGAAACACAATGCTCTACTACATGTAGTATGTGACTATGAATTTGTATTCAGTCTAACTTTGCTGAAAGTCACCTTTCTAAATATGATCAGCCCAAGTAAGTATCTTCAAGGTAAAGAAAATATCAGCATACTTCCTTTGGATATTGGAAAGTATTAGAAAAGACCAAATTCCTAATTTTACATTTTGGTGGATAATTGACACTTCTGGGAACCAGCCCATTTACTTTTTTCGTTAAACTATCCTGAATTAATTTACCATTATAATTCTTTAAATAAATCCAATATGATAAGCACTGAAAACAACACTGCAGAAAGGGTTAACGAGATAAAATTATAAACACCTTACTGTTTTCTAAAGTTTCGCAAAAATGGGTCTCGCATGTTCCAAACACTATACAACTGCTTACAGGTCAATATCCATTGGTACAGAAGTTTTCGATTCTTCACCTGGGGATTTCTTGGAATTTTCATCTTTCTTCTGGGTTGCTTTCTTGAGTCCTTTCATTTTACGTGTCTGTAATTTACCCATGTCCTGTTTGGTCATATGTACGCGGCCAAGCTTCGTTCCAAATACGTTTTTGCTGACATTCTTCACCTTATTAGCCTGAAAAATTAAATACAAAATCATTATACACAAATTTTCTGGTTAATCATAAAGTTTCCTTAAAAAATCTTATTCAACAAACTTTCTGAATTTTAATCATGCAACCAACAAAACATAAATGCAATGTATTATAACATGAGAGGGAAAAAAGTATTTTGAAAGATACGTACAAGTACAGTAAACCTTCTCAATAAGGGACATTTCATTGCCAAAAATTCTAAATGGCCCTTTTTGCACTTTACTCCCACTACTTTTCAATTTATTTTGAACAGAGTTCAAAACTCAAAACAATTAGGAATCATACGAATCAGTTTCATAAAAAAGAATATCATTGAAACAATATCAAGACACCTTCTACAGTTAGACAAAGTGTGTCCATACATATATTTTACAAAAATATGCAAGTCAATAGGGCAAACATTAATAACACTGATAATATTACAATATATGAGGCATTGATTAATGCAAGGGCGACCTCGCCACCCGAACTTAAATGTGATCTTGTACCATTCATTTCAGAAAGTTTCGTTCTACTATGACACAAGATGGTATGACGAGTTCGCTTTTGGTTTACTGGCAAAATCCCAGTGAACCATATGGTGTAAAACTCTAGGCATCTCTGTATTGCCTGTGGTAATTTCAGTGTCTGGAGAGAGTAAAGCAATGTCAAACTCGCCAGTGGCCCAGCAACCAATCACAGCCTGCCTTACTTGGGTTCATACAAAGGAATGTTAGTTACAAAACTAGAGAAGTCATCCTGAAACTATATTATCAATACATTAACTAAATTTCAGAATGACCAATATTTTTATTGAAAAAGTGCAAAAATATTCAAGAGACCAACAAACTCGATGTTCACTCCACTGTAAGCAAAGTTAAACTGAGAAGCGTTGGAAATGGAAAATTTAAACATATCTTGTGCGCAAGAGTTAATTTCACACCATTTCATTATTTGACATCAATGTGCACTAAAATCAAAGATCACACTTCATTTATTACAAGGATTACATTCTGCATTAAATCCCCTTTAAAATGAAACCTCGTGGAACAGAATTGGTGAATTTTTGGAGGTCCTATGATGTTTTGAATATGTGCAAATTTTAAACCTTTTTTCTCAAAACTTGGTTTTGGCACGATTGTTCTTGCATTAATGAACGCCTCATATACACGGTAGCATTATCGAAAATGGAATGCCATATTACTAGAAGACTGTTTGTGAGCTTTATTGGTATTTTGTAAGCATGTATCAAGCCTTCAACTTGATGTTATTATTTTACCTACCTTGTTGTATTAAATATATGACACTGTTGATATTACGTGTCTGATTATCATGGATAATTTAATATGACAATGTATTTTGGTGATCTGTCGGTGTAATATCTACAAGTCTGTCGAAGTAATCTGATGAAATGTCAATTTATAATTAGATGACATTATTATGCAAAATATTGTCTACATATTATGAATTATCATGAGTAAAGAGTAAAATGGGGTAGTGGATGTCTTTTTGTCTGGTATAATTAGCAGACTCAACCAGTATGATTTGGTTATAGAAACATTGTTCGCTATTAACCACATGTTCAGTTGGTGCAGGTTGAAATTTGCTTGACTCAGTGTGGCTGAGGATCTCAACTGTCCAAAACCCTTGGGAGGGTAGTCAACGCATGAGCTCTATGCGACCCTGTGTTTGGGAATCACTGCTCTAGGATATGGAAGAACAGTGGGATAATGAAAGTAATATTCTGTATAAATGTAATGGTCATTTTGTTTTTGCACTATGCCTACTGATATTAATTTTATATGTTTTAAGTGCCATTTATTATAAAAATTTCACTTTTTTCACAGGTTACCTTAAGTTGCTTAGGTTGTCTACAGGCTCTCTTCATCAAGTCCTCTGAAGCAAATTTGTTTCTTCTAATTTGTAGGGTCATTGATGGCCCTATTTCCTCCAGCTCCACACGTGGGATTCTTGTGCCAGATTTCTTCAGTAATATTCTAAGGTGCAAAATTAATGAATTAAATAAACTTACCCATCATACATAAACAGTTTCAAAGCATTTCAATGAGATTTAAAAAGGTGCATAAATAAAAAACTTCACAATGAAGTCAAGAAATTGCCAAGATGTAGGTATAACAAGAATAGATATGCTGTGTGCCCTACAAAAATTAAAGCTAAAGTAACAAAAATACATTATAATATGAGAAATGGCAAATTTCCTCTTCCACAGAAAACATTCCTAAGTCCAAGCTTTTGTATCATTATGAGTTTATGAACAAACCCATGGTTAGCATGTATATTTTCTACCACTTCAGCCCAGCTGTGGGATGGAACTCATTGAAATAGAAGGTAAAAGCAAAAAAATTCTGTCCATAACAAACCTAGTAAATTTTTTCATTAATTACAAAATTAAAGGGGCATTTAAGATATGGACACTAGATTTATTTAATCCATCCATCTAATTCATGAACCTTGAATGCAGTACACAGAAGTTAAAAAGAGCTAACTGGAACATATATTCTAAACTGATATGGAAATGATGCACAGAAATTATAAAGCTGTTATACCAAATTGTGATCTTAAGATCTTAATCCCACCCATCATTTGTACTGCTTTTCCGAACCGCCGTACATCCCAAATTCTATACAGGGGGTCCCCGACTTACAAACGGGGTTAAACTTGAAATTTACCTAATGACTAATTTTTTACTTTCATTAATTCTATTTTGTCATTCTAGTTCTTTTCTCTTAAATTAAGTGATTTTAGATGTATATAAGGACTTAGGTTATGATATAGTGAGATTTCAAACATTGTTCTGTACAGTAAGTACGGTATGCACGTAATTTGTGTTCCAACTTCCGTACAAATCCAACTTAAGTGTACGTCCTTAGGAACGGAACCCGTTCGTAACCCAGGGACCCCCTGTATGTCCAGTATGTATGTATGTATGTAATTCTGATTTATTTTCTATCAATGTATGCATGATCAAAATAATCACAGTACAGTACAGTGGACCCCCGATTAACAAACACGATTAGTTCCACAGAGTCGTTTGTAACCAAAAATTTCGTTAACTGAATCTATTATTTCAATGGGATATTGGGCAATTGGTTCCAACTCACAGAAAAAGTACATACAATGTAAAGCCAAAAAATGCATGACGTCAGAAACACTCCTAAAAAACCCTAAATCACCCTTAAATCACTATACAGTATTACCCCGCTATACGCTTTTTTTTTTTACACGTTTTCACGTTTACGCAGTACCCTGCCGAACACGGAATGCTCACTTTACGCGGTGCGTGTACTCTTTTACGTGGAGAGCGGCTGACGGTCCTCTCGCACCGCGCCATTTTTGGATTCAAACCTCCCGCCATGTTGGGTAAGCGGCGCGAGTAGGTTGCGCAGTGTATGTCTTTGTTGCATTATCGGTGATGTCATATGACGTATCGGACTGTGATTGGGCCAAGCATCCTTACCTCCCTCCCCCGCTAGCTGTGATTGGTTTAATGTAATATGACGTGCCCCGCCGAGGGAGCGTTCGAGCCCGTTGACCTACCAGCGTCAGTTACACCCCTCCCGGCTACACCACGTATATCGGTATCTATTGTTCCATAAGAATGGCTTCCACCGGACCACCACCACAAAGAAACCTTGCATTACCTGGACCCAGCCGCCCTAAGCCAAAGAAGATACGACGTTCCCTAAGCTACAAAATTAAATACAAGATCATCCAAGAGTTGGAGAAAGGAACAAGACAGGTTGATCTCGCGCGCCAGCATGGTGTTAACGAATCTACGATCCGGACGATCAAGAAGGATGCAGTCAAGATAAAGGAGCACATGAACATCACAAAGTCTACAGGTGCTTCTATGATCAAGTATTGCCACAACCAGGTGCTTCTCAAGACGGAGAAATTACTTGTGAGCTACTTGATTCGTCAGGCAAGACGGAACATGGCGGTGGACACGCGCTCAATTAAGGAGTACGTGAACTGTATGCTGCAGTGTCACGTAAGATGGGAATTGCTGAGCCCAAACCCTTCAATGCTTCTTCTTGGCGGTTGCAGAGGTTTAAGAAGAGGAACAAGATCACCAATATTAACATTGGTGGTGAAGAAGCTAGTGCTGACTGTGTTGTGGCTAGAGATTTTCCTCCATTTTTACGCGAGATTATGGAGGAAGGACAGTACACCGACGACCAGGTGTTTAACATGGACGAATCCGGTCTGTTTTACAAAAAGGTACCTTCCAAGACCTTCGTTGTGAAGAATGCCAGCAAGTGTCGGGGCCGGAAGTTGCAGAAGGAGAGCATCACCGTCCTGTTTACCACCAATGCCTCCGGTACTTATAAGCTCAAGTTATCGGTGATCCACACAGCCCACAAGCCGCACGCCTACAAGAACGTGGACATGACCAAGCTAAATGTCCACTGGCTAACCGGACGTAAGGCGTGGATGTTCGCTGCTCTGCCCGTCTCCTGGTTTGATGACTGTTTCGTTCCCGACGTGAAGAAATTCTGTGAGCAACAGAATGTTCCATTCAAGATTTTGTTGCTGCATGACAACGCACCAGGACACTCGCCCCTACTGTTGGATCGTCACCCCAACGTAAAGGTGGTCTTCCTCCCTCCCAACACTACGTCATTAATTCAGCCCATGGACCAAGAATTGATCTGCAATGTGAAAGCTGCATTCTCTGCAAAGAAGTTTAAGCTCCTGAACAACTATACCAACACCAAGGATGAGTTGCGTAACCTGGGTGACACCGATAGCAAGAGCGAAGAGGGCGAGGAACAACAGTTGGCAGAGCAAGAAGTACTTTTGAAACACTTTTCGAGAAAATTCAACGCCAAGAAAGCTGTGAACTTGTTGGTGGAGGCATGGGATCAGCTGTCTGTAGCAATGGTTCGTCACGCATGGAGACATGTGTTGCAAGGTATTCCAGGTGGGAGGCAGAGTCAATCTGTGACTGGTGAGGTTCAGACTGTTGCAATAGCAGTGG